GAACAGATTAGTGTAAGGTTGTAAAATAATGGGGAAAACGAAAATATACAATCAGAGGGAATCTTTCAGTTAGGGAAGAAGCAACCAATTTTTACGAAGAAAGTAAAAGAATGTTACAGCAGGATCGCCATCGGCTTATATTCTGAGCCATATCTGATGACGTCTCTAGCCACTGTGTTGCACCATCTCTAGGACCCCAGCCAGGGAGTCGTGAAGGACCAACACAAGCCAGCCCTTTGCAGCTTTCTTTCATACCACGACACCATGTCATACACTGACCACCTCTCCGCCTTTTCCAACCAGTCCCAGAGTCGGCGAACAATGCACGACGAGGAATTCTCTGGGACGACATTCGTAGAACATGTCCAAGCCACCGAAGTTGGTGTTTCAAGATGGTGACACCAATTGGATTATCGTCTCTGTGCCCGAACACACGGTGCCGAACCTCTGCATTACTAACATGGTGTTGCCACTGAATGTCAGCGATCCTTCGGAGACAACGATGATCGAACACAGAGTCGTCTAACATCCTCAACTCGGAGAGGTCAGGTTTCACAAGCATAGAGCAAAACTGCTCTCACCGACGCATTGTAGATCCGACCTTTTACAGCCAGACTAACATCACGAAGGCACCAAAGATGGCCCAGATTGGCATAAGCCGCTCTGGCTTTCACTATGCGTGCATTGATCTCATCACTCACGCCACCACCAGCACTTATGCAGCTACCCAGATACATGAACTTCTCGACTACTTCTATTTGCTCACCATCCAGAGTGAGTACAGGATTAGAATCCTGCCAGTCTTGTAGAAGTACTTTGCACTTCAAAGATGCAAAGCACATACCATACCTACGGACACTAATTGCCAACTGATTAAGTGCGGATTGCATGGCTTGGGCATTCTCGCACAGTAAGACAATATCATCCGCATACCCAAGGTCGAGAAGTCTTTCTCCAGGTAAAAGATCCACTCCACCCTTAATTACATCCATCAGAGCTGTTTCCAGAATGTCATCGATGGCAAAGTTGAAGAGGAATGGTGAGATTGGGCAACCCTGCCTAACCCCACTGCTTGAATGGAACAATGGAGAAAGGTGGTTGTATGCCCTCACTCTGCCTGAGGTGTTTGTATATAGGGCTTTTAGGATGTTAATAAACTTCTCAGGCACACCCTCCCTCAATAGACAATTCCAGAGAACAGTTCTGTCCAACGAATCGAAGACAGCCCTGATATCACGAAACACTACGATTGTTGGCCCTTGATAAGTATGGCGGTGTTCTAACATTTGGCGGAGGGTGAAGATATGATCAACACATCCTCGACCAGAACGAAAACCAGCCTGCTCCTCGCGAGTCAATCTTTCTCGGGTTTTGAACAACCTACGAGGTATGACGGAAGCCAATAGCTTGGACACAATCGGAAGTAGACTTATCCCCCGATAGTTGTTACAGGAACGACGTGAACCCTTCTCAAAGATAGGGACAACTATCGATTCATTCCATGACGTTGATACACTCTCTAGTTCCCAGACCTTGGTAAGCAACGTCATCAGTCCTTTAGTCAGAAAGTCACCACCATCTTTAAAAAGAGTCGGAGGTAAGTCATCTGGGCCCGGTGATTTGTAGCGTTTCAAGAGTTGGAGTTCCTTGCGGACTTCCGCCTCATTTGGTGGATCAGTCGTCACCGGCCATGGAGGGCAGGACAGTCTGACCGATGTTGCCGGAGCAGCAGGCCAGTTGAACTGCCCTTCAAAGAATTCTGCCCATCGTCCAAGACGTCGATGGATGTTAGTGATTGGCGTTCCGTCATCCTCGCAGATTGTTTCGCTCACACCAGACTTCTTGCTGCCAGTGGCTCGGATGAGTTGGAAGAGCTTCCAGTAATTACCAGATGCAGCTGCTGCTTCCAACTCACTGGCACGCTCCGACCACCAGGTTTCTCGGTCCTTACGCAAGCTTTGCTCAATTTCAGTACGTAACATCCTTCGTCTGTGGTCAAACTCACGGTCACCCGGAGTAGACCGACGGGCTTCAATCAGTTGTAAGGAACCAGAAGAAACCCAGTGCTTGTAAGCGAGACCTACCGCGAACCCACAAATGACTTTACTCGCCATTTTCATGGCGTCATACAATTGCAACCAATGCTCATCTATACTTTTCGGTGGAATGGTAGCTAGCCTAGAAGCTAGCTCGACTCGATACTGACTAGCAACAGAAGTTAAAACCAACTAGCTAACATCAATCCTTTGGTGGTGGTCACTTCGTTGTCCACTGAAAAGTAAGGTAAGATTGACGCAGACCAGGGGATGATCAGATTCCAAATAGGTACTCGAGAAGGAGCAGCGATCTTGTACACAACCACGCCAGCGGTAGCTGATCGCGATGTGATCAATCTGAGTTCAGACTTGAGATGCAGAGGAGGGATGCCAGGTGGCACATCAGCGATGACTGTGCCGAAAGTTATTGCTAGTCAGAAACAGGTTGTGGTCTGTGCAGAGTTGCAAAAAACGGTCCCCGTTATCTGTCCTGCGACCAACAAGTCCCCATTGGCCATCTAAACGACTCTCTTCTGTGTCTAGACACCCGACCTGAGGATTCAGGTCTCCGGCTAGTACTACAATATCTGTCAAACTCACTTTCTGGAGAACAGTTAACTGGTGGTAGAAGGGCATAGACGGAGATGACGAAAAGACATCGTCTCTCACGCCGACTTCTCCGCACTTCGATGAAACTTTCTAATCTGACAGCAGATAACCGACTGTTAATGGGGATCCAGTCGATTAGTGCTGCCTCAGCTCTAGCGCTTAGTGCGACAACAACGCCAGCAAGACCAGACGAAGATGTCAAAGGGTCCCCGGATAATTTATTATTTATTTATTTTAACACATAGATATCGGTACAAGAAGGCACCAAATACATATGCGCCACACGAATCTCAATTGATTTGTGTGAGGGCTGTGATAATGTCCGGGTGCCCAAACCGAAGCAGGTGGTTTTCTTAGGGGGCCACACCCCGAGCCTTCGACCTGAACGTCTGACCCACAAGGCAGTGGAGCATCGTGAGGAGATGCAGTCCCATGGTAGCCGGTGACCAACGATTGGTTCATACGCCATTTGTTCCTTCAGGATACTGGAGCCCATGTGCACCATTGGTTTGGGATCCGGTTAAAGCGCCGGACATTGGCTTTTCGTCCTCTCATTTTCGTAAACAACACCCCCGCCACGAGAAGGCAGTGAGTAGGACTTCCCTGGCAGAGGCTATATACGCGTGGCCATATGAGAGCATTTTGAGAGGGGGAGCGGCCTCCCCCCACTCTCGGCCACACCAGGGCATTGGGGGGCCCCGGGATAAACGCACGTAAAACAAGCTTTTTGAAGCGACAGATGGAGAGCGAACTTGTAGTACTTCACCAAAGTCTTGAATACGGGTCTTGGATAGACAACAAACGTCAATAATAAGACTTCCCAAGGATATAGCCAGCCCTATCTGTTGTCCGACCTGCATAAGTGTATGAACGTTAAAGGCAGCCAGTTTGAACGGTGCACATGGTTTCAGAAAAAATGCTTTAGTACTCGTATTCGGTGGTAGCATACAATTTTCAACCAGGCAGTGACGTTTAGATAGAGCCGAATTTCCACGATAGGCGAGCTGCTGAATAAGTCGAAAAGTAAGTATACACAGAGTGGGAGCCCATGTGCACCATTGGTTTGGGATCCGGTTAAAGCGCCGGACATTCGCTTTTCGTCCTCTCATTTTCGTAAACAACACCCCCGCCACGAGAAGTCAGTGAGTAGGACTTCCCTGGCAGAGGCTGTATACGCGTGGCCATGTGAGAGCATTTCGAGAGGGGGAGCGGACTCCCCCCACTCTCGGCCATACCAGGGCATTTGGGGGGCAGCAACAGTATGCACTAATGCAAACCTTTTTATTCATTTATAGGTTTTTTAAATTGCGATTCATTACAGCTAAAATACTACTCATTAAGTAAATTATTGTCTCTTTTTAAACAAAATTCCCGAAGGTATGTAGTTGTAACATTTCAGTGATAGAAATATTACACTAAACAAGCCAGAAGTTTAATGCCCCCAAATGCCCTGGTACGGCCGAGAGTGGGGAGAGTCCGCTCTCCCTCTCAAAATGCTCTCATATGGCCACGCGTATATAGCCTCTGCCAGGGAAGTCCTACTCACTGCCTTCTCGTGGCGGGGGTGTTGTTTACGAAAATGAGAGGACGAAAAGCGAATGTCCGGCGCTTTAACCGGATCCCAGACCAATGGTGCACATGCGCTCCAGTATCCTGAAGGAACAAATGGCGTATGAACCAATCGTTGGTCACCGGCTACCATGGGACTGCATCTCCTCACGATGCTCCACTGCCTTGTGGGTCAGACGTTCAGGTCGAAGGCTCGGGGTGTGGCCCCCTAAGAAAACCACCTGCTTCGGTTTGGGCACCCGGACATTATCACAGCCCTCACACAAATCAATTGAGATTCGTGTGGCGCATATGTATTTGGTGCCTCCCTGTACCTATAACTATGTGTTAAAATAATAATAATAATACACAGAGTGGGAATAAAAGAGGGTGAGTATATGACGCAGTAAATAATAATAATAATAATGTGAGTTGTTTGACGGCAAATCGAAGCGAGGATGCCCTGTTATACCCGAGAGCGGAGTGGGCTCGCCCTTCCTCTCTCTCACACGGCCACGTGTATACAGCCTCTGACAGGGAAGTCCTACTCACTGCCTTCTCGTGGCGGGGGTGTTGTCTACGAAAATGAGAGGATGAAAAGCGAATGTTCGGCGCCTTAACAGGATTCTGAATCAATGGTGCACATGGGCTCCAGTATCCTGAAGGAACAAATGGCGTATGAACCAATATCTTGGTCGCCGGCTTCCAGGGGACTGAGTCTTCTCACGATGCTCCACTGCCTTGTGGGTCAGACGTTCAGGTCGAAGGCTCGGGGTGTGGCCTCCTAATAAAACCACCTGCTTCGGTCCGGGCAGTATCACAGCCCACACACAATTAAAATGATGATTCTTTATATATGATATTTTTAAAATTATAGACAGTACTATCACTTTAAATTCATCGTTTTGGCCAAATAAAAGAGACACCTTTTTTGAATGATTACAAATATATGTGAACTATACCTAGATAATCTGTAGAATGTCAAACTAGTACTACGTGGAAAAATCTCCTTTGGGACAGTAGAAACACAAATTAACATTGAAGCGTATTGTATGCAAAAGTACTATACTTTCGATTATCACTTCTAAAATGCACATGAGTAAAATTAAGCTATGCACCAGTAAATATAAAAATTGAGTCGCAGATAAACTTCAACAACACAACAGAATGAATTCATAAATAAAGAAAAAAACACGATAAATCACGTTAGTATTATGCATCCTTCATTTGTAATTGAAATGGTATGTTCAAATTGAGCTGTCAAAGCTTTATCACTAGTGACCACTGTCCATCCATCTTCCAAGATAACAGGAACTGCAAAACTTGTATTTCGTTTGAATTTTACTCCAAACTTTTTGAGAGGAAGAGAAATACACGGTTCGACGGTGAACATATGTCCAGGTAGCATACGTGCCAAAGGTTGGGAATTTAACTCATGGATTGAATGTACTACTTTCGGTGGTCCATGCAAAAACGGGCCGATTCCATGTCCACATACGCCTACCACAACCCGGCACTGAAATGCATCGGCGCATTTGGTGACTGCTTCCGCAATAGATGTATAAAGAGCATTTGGGCCGCAAACACTGATACCAGCATCACGGCACTTTTGAGCGACAGTGCACAAGTAGACAGCTGTTTTTATCCGTGCATCAGCTTCCAGATCACAATAATCAGAGTGACTATCCACACCGACTACAAATGTGTGACAAGCATCACCATGGACATAACCATTATAAACTGATATATCCACAGACATAATATCGCCTAATTTTAGTATTTGTGATGCTTTCGGTATTCCATGACAAACAACTTCATTTATCGACGTGCAGACCGACCTGTATTAAAGAAAACACATATGACAGATTAAACTAGTGTAGCTGTATTTCCTTAACTAACCGATAAAATTCAGACTCAGACAAAAATGAAACCTTTATTAGTACCAGGTAGTTTTTCATGTGAAAAACATCTGAATAAGCTATCTCTTGAGACAGAAACCCTTTTTCGTCAATATATTTCTATTCTACTTTCAATATACAAAATAATTAAAAATTCCCATCAAGTGATATGAATACTTATGCTGACAAGTTACAAATATATTGCTCTAGTAAACTATTTATGAGAACTAGCTGTTAGAAAGCGGACCTCGAAATTTAGCTGAAAATGGAGAATAAAAATTACAAATAACAAACTTACTTTGGGAAACCTTTATATCCTAACGGCGATGGGTATACTGACTTACTCAGACACTGATTAAATACGAAATCATCAATATCTTGAGTAGACAAACCCGGTCTGATAAATTCTTTAAGATCATTAAATATCTGGCGGATTACTGAACCTGCTCGTTTACATTCACTGATATTACGTTCACTTTGCACAGCTATTGTAGATAGCGTCAGGTCGACCTTGTTAGTGATGTATGGGGGCAGTGGGATATTAGATGGAATGTCACGGCCATAAATATGGAGGAAACGACCGTGGATTTTCAGTAGACCACGAGAGAGAACCATCTGCATGGAGTCAAATTTTCATTTATAAGACAAATACATACTAGGGGTTTAATTACACACTAAAAACACAACAATACGACCACAGGTAGTTTTAAACTCCGGAATGTGTTTAGCATATTAAAATACACCCAGTTGCGAAAAATGAGGATGGAAGGAAGGAAGAGGCAACGCTTCAGGGGTATCGTCCACTGATGTGGGTTGCGAGCACTTGAAGGTCAGACTGTCTCAAGATGATTGGTGCGTCACATCGACAACTCGTGAAGTTTTTTAGAGGCGGTCAAACCAAGACATTTTTAGATTTGAATTGAGTTCAGCCACACCATGTCTGATAACGTCCATCCTTCAAGTAACAAAGATGATGCCATCGTGATGATGCATGATATAGGACGAATCTTCAATGATATTATGTTATCTCGGAGATTTACAAGTTGGGACAATTTCGAGACCTGTTTGAAAGAAGTACATAAGGTAATATGACTTCTGTGGTTAATGATTATTTTTGTAGTATACGTATACTAGGTACGTTATGTCAGTATGTAAAAAGAACAATGATGACATAAATCTAAAATGCGTTCACAGTGGTACCCAGGTTGTTGAAATCACATTGTAATTAATTGAGCTTAGACATTAAAAATATCAATAACATTTTACAACGTGTTCAAGCAAACACTGAAGTTAAAGTACTAAGTGAACATGGGAACATATCTATGATTTGCTTCAGTCGTAGGGAGCAAGTAGCTGTTTACCACGCGTTCCCAGAGCGAATACTATAATTAAACCTTACCGACGACCTTGAACAAGTTATCAGCTAATCAGAAAAGTGTTCAAGACCGAAACAATTTATTATAAAAATGGTAATAAAACTGTATTGGATAAGAAGTTTTGTCATAATTAACGACTCCATACACGTTCAACTTGTGTTAAAAGGATGACTTTTTAAACCCCTTATAGGATCTTTAGTAAGTAGTCGTTCGACAAATGTTAGCACACTCTTCCATAATCTAAAGTTAGAACATAATTCAGTAGCAGGGAAGTCATTGGTGTTTGAAGGAGCGACTGACCAGCAAACCCTCGATGAAAGCCTTGGTAGTCATCTTATCCCAACTATCCTTCAAAATCAGGTTCAAGACCTTCATGTTTTGTTTCGAAACAGCTCACCTAATAAGTCAGCTGTATCCGTGAACCGGAATCAAGAGATTGTAAAAACTTACAACATCACGGCATTTTTCATTGGGGAAATAAACTAACGGTAATTAACCATTTTTAACTTCAAAATGGTTCAAATGATTGTGGACGAAGTAAAAGAAGCTTTCGCTTGACGGGCTTTCGTGTCTAGTAGCAATTGATCACCAATACCTCCAGACTGAAACTTAGGTATATTGGCCATAAAATAAGATAAAAAGATTGGTAAATCATAGTAATGATACTATCCCTAGTCAAGTTGCCTCCTAATGGACTAATGGGGAATCGGTTGGACTAGCTCAGCCGAAAGCGAATTTCAGCATTTGACAACTCTTAAGGAATAGAAGTTGGATACTCCCCAGAGTGACCTTATCCTTTTGAAGTGAGGGAGGAAATAATGTGTTTCCGCACTCTAAATTGTGACGAATGAAACTGTTGAAGATTATGCGGAAGGTTCTTCCGTCAAACTGGCCAAAATGCGCATCAATGTTAGCAGTTCAAAGTTTGCTCGAAAGGCTTTTTTGTCACATTTAGCGTAAAACTTCCAATCGTGGCCTTAGTTGTAGATGTAGTCTACAACATGTTTCAGATGGACCACTTTACACCTTGAATTGTCAAAGATAAGCCCGTTGAATTCGAGTCAGATCATCCTGAACTGCTAGTATATCTTCTTGTTTGCGTGTCGCTCTCCAAAGTTTCACATCATCACCATAATTATGCGAAGGCTAAACGACTTTGTATTTGGTTTAGCCATATCGATTAACTGCCCTCCCTGCATTTGCTTCAACTTCAGTATACACACCTCTGGTTTCTTCTCAACAAAGACACTGTGAATAAATCACCGGATCCATACGACGTTGCCAACTAGGACTGTTGAAGGTAACGTTACAGTTCTAATAATCTCTTAAACTCAATTCTCGTGAAGCACATACTCACTTGTGTTCATTGTTTCTTTTCTTCTAAACACTCGTCTTGAGCAATTCCATAAATTATCGCACATTTTGCTCCTCAGTGTATTGACGAGTATATACAGTAATAACGTTGCCATTGGTAATTATAATACGACCACAAGATCGACCAGAACAGGCACAGGTCTAAATTCCGAATTTAACGGCGAATCAAAAATGACTGTTTCTGGCGACAGGATTATAAGAAAGCTTAATACGACACCAGATAAATAACCCCGAAGTAATGAGCAAGACGTCGGTCACTTAACTCAAAAACCAAAATTGAATCTAACAAAGCAACAACGATCACACTCCTATCTAGGTCTCTACAATGGAAGACTAGTTAGCAGAAAAGAAATAGGAGAAAGAGGCATCCTAAGCTACCACTAATCCTAACAGCTGAGTACAAACATCACAAAACGACAGTTGCACCGTGTGCTCGTCGTTGATTAAAACCAGTGACTCAAAAATTAAATATAAATTCTGCAGGGGCCATTGTTACATCCGAAGAGGGTTAAATTATGGATATATTCCGCAAATATTTTTAGACCGTTATTATATATATTCATATTGTATAACTGTTAAATAACTAGATTATATATGTTTATATGTCTTTTATCATAAGCTTTCGATTAACATATTGGCTAATACGATGCGGTTTATTATACTCAACTTCTTGCCAATCTTTTAGTCACAGTCTCTCACACTCACTGCTGCTTCAGACCTGATCGTATGTAATCGCTATCTTTTTATTTTATGGTATGATGCTGTCCGGTTTTCTTGTATATAAACCATGTATGTCTGAAATATTTGATGACGAGGTTGCGTCTTTGACTCAACTGATGGGGATAGACTAGAAGGAACAATAAGGTTTCAAAGTTCGCGTAAGATTGCTAGAACTGATTGACATTTTTTAATAATTTGGCACACGAACGAGGTCGCATAAGTCGGTGCTCTGATTGAAGATTTTTCACGTGATGAGTAACGGTTGCAAAAGTCATAACAGCTAGGGTCACTGCCGCTGTGATACAACAGTTCTTAGGCAGTACTACGGCTTCACGTCAAGTCAACCCATTTGGTGGCTCTAGAACTTTTGCTCACAGTGTAGACAAAACATCAGCGGAACTAGTAAGATGTAAGCATAGGACCCCATAGACAGCAACCGTATCAACCTCTACCAGTATATCGAAATCGTCAAACACTTGCTCAACCAAACACGAGACCACAGAATTCACAACCCAAGCCCAAAACCAATGAAATTAACGACTGTAGTATCTGTTGACAGTAGGGAGCAGTAGGTGAGTGATGGGAAAATAAATAACAAAGGCATAGTCTCCGAAACGCTACACGATGGGAAACGAAGATGCTACACCAAAACCAACGAATTTATTTATTGTCTCAGTATCGAAGAATAGCTAATTAGAAAGTAGAGCAGCTGTAATAAAGAGATGTAGGACGAATAATGTTTAGTGGTGGGAAAGAGTACATTATCCAAGCTATGTTGATTGCATAGGTGCCAGAACGTAGGAAACGTTAAAACCTTCGCTTAAGAGTAACATTGCACATTACGGCGGAAGTTTTAATAGCATCCCAGAGACCATCGATCGAGCGATCTTCTCAATTCCAATTTAGACACGACAAAAAGTGAGGGGGTCAAGGGATACCGAGAGATAACCAGCAAACATCCATTAACTAACCAGCATAGTGACCCATAGAATGTCTGACCTAGCATGTGGTATTCGGGTTGAGGCCGCGACACACGATATGTAACAGCGGTGTTGGCCATCACGTAGTATAGGCCTTTCCACCACTGTGATAACTAGTGTTTCCAGGCTACCTCGAACTTTATACCTCACAACCATCAAGTCTCTGCTTCTGAAGGCTATGAACTTCAGAAAGTGAAAGGAATATATTAAGACGCTACAGACCCTGTACAACTCGACAAAACTAACTCTTCTCCCACACCAGATGCAGAAGACGACCCTGATCGGCAAAGAAATAGCTAAAAACAGCACCAAGACACACGTTGGTTTAGGTTGACCTTGATCAGTAACCCACGGTATAGAAGGCGAAGATCATTAACATGCTAATGGGACACGACTTAACCAATAATTTTCTTTAAACCGAGAACAGATGTCTCTGGAGAGCAGCATGTGGCAACAAAAAATCACCATGTGGTTATACAGCAAAGTAAGAGGACCAAGAGGTAAACTATGGAAAATCAGAAACATGCGCTTTCAGTTAGATCTGAAGATTGTAGTCCCAGCTGAAACTTGGCTACCGTCCGATATTGTAGATGGAGAAGTGAAATTACAGGTCATGACACTTTTCAGATACAGTAGGTTACACAAAACAGGAAGTGGAGTGACGATATACATCAAGAGTCACTTCAAAGCAGAGATACTGTAGTGATATTGGGCTCTAACACGAGATAATATGGGAAATAGACACTCAACGCGGAGAAATATCCAAGGATGGAGAAAGCGCGGAACAAGGAATGAATTCGAGTTGGTCGGATGGCATGACTCTACCATGCAGGCACGGTCCCTGCTGAATGTTACCTTATATCTTTTGTTCATTTTAAATATATTATTCTATCTCTAACCTAAGCTTGTTCTCCATCATCTATTGGTAGTTGTTACGACGCAGTGAGTTGGTGTAGACGATAACGTAACTTCCACGTAAGATCTTATAGATTAGGCATTATATCATGACGAATCTACAAGTCTAAGATTAGGTCTATTATTAGAGCAGTACTGATACCATAGTAGACCATAATTCTACAACACCACACAGTAACAAATAAACGACAGTAGCAGCACATTACTGGTGAACAGAAAAAATTATGAGATTAGTGGAGTAAAGTAGGCCTCACAGGTTCTAACATCCAAATAGATGATATAATATGGGTGATCGTAAATCCATGACACCTGGAGTGTAATCAAATACTACTAGCTGGATATTTTGACATACTATGCTTAGGTCTCAACAAGCATCGGAGTCTCCACGTTCACTGATCATGCTGCACGTGGAACTTTCCACCGCTTCCAGAGTTTATACATCGTGTGATTGGGTTTTGGTTTCTTGTGTTGTATTTAGGGTTGCCCTTTTTTCACTGTGTATGTTGAGGCCTACTGATGCAGATCCTGCTGCTAAACTAGCTGTCTTCGCCTGGCTTTTTTCGTGTATATGGTATAGAATGGATAAGCCATCTGCGAAGTCCAAATATTTTGTGAGTTCTGAGCTGTCCAGTGTATACCGCGCATCTCCTGAAAAGTGTTAGCCTTCGCAAACTAGACAACCACCAGAAAAAGAGAAAGGGGGAGAGTAAGCAGACTCGTCTGAAGGCGGCCCGTACTTGGAGTCCTTCTGCCAGATGACCTCCATGCACTACCGTGTACTGTAGTCAAATAAATTTCAATAATGTTCTATTCACTGTCAAACGCTTTCTTATAGTCAATTAAGTTCATGTATAGTGGGGAGTTCCATTCAATTGGTTGTCCAATGATGATCCGTAGTGTCACGATTCAGTTTATGCACAGCAAATCCTGGCAAAATCCAGCTTGTCGATTTGAAGTTAGGTGTCTACTGAATATTACACCCAATTCAGCAACACTTTGTTGAAAACCTTTCCTTGTACTCATAGTAATATGATGCTTCTCTGGTTCACACATTTGCTCAGATCTTCTTTCTTTGTTATCTTGATGAAGCATCCTTCATTCTAGTTTGCGTGTGGCACCTGTTCTTCCTTCCAAATCTTTCTGAATAGAATGTGGATCACGTTTGCATTTACTTCTTTGTCTGGCTTCAGATGGTGTTTTGTCAGGTTCTACTGAATTCACACTTCTGGTGTGAAGTCTTTCTCTTGCAGCTTTTCCGCTGTCTTTGCTAGCTCTTCCATGAATTTCTGTTTGTCAGCTCTAATGCTCCTCTTTACTTGAGTGCTCGCTTCTGTGCAGACTCTATCGAAACTTTGTAATGCTGGTTGTCCAGTTGTTCAGTGCTTCTTTATCTTCATTTTGACGTTGATAACCACCAGTTGATGGTGATCTGAAGCCATGTCATCACCTCTCGTGGTTGTCACGTCTTATATTGACCTTATGAATATCTTGGCATTGCGAATGTGATTGATATAACTCTTTGTACTGTGATCCTGCGAGACATATGACATACTTCGTGACAAGAGTACAGTAGCAGCACTCCCGTACCTAATTTCTACTGTTCAGATAGGGTCCAATGGGCTTCGCTGATTCCAAGACCCTACCAAGTCTAGTACTAATTGAGGGTCTGGGTGATATCCAACTATTTCTCGTTGAACGGTATTAAAGAGACCCAATCACTATGCCCGGGAAAGTCACAAAGACGTGACATCCGACCTATAATCCTAAAACTGAGCGCTGAAGCCATCAGAACACCGGTGTGTGACCAGTTCGGGTACTCACTACATTCGTACCAACTCACTTATGTATCTTCACAGGTGATGGTAGAATAAATCCAGCCTGTTAAAGACCAACCACAATGTTTTTAATACTGCACAAGGTAGTGGAAGGACTGGTCAAATGAAAGATAAAGGAGTACATGAATAACCACATTCCCCATGAAGCCGAACAGGGGTTCAGGGAAGGTAAGTTCAGTGCGTCCAACCTACTCATATCATATGACAGCTGGATGACCTGCTCAGACCATATCGGTCCATACAATATTCCTCTATATCACAAAAGCATTTGTCACAGTACCTTATAATCGTCTCATAGAAAGGTTTCTAAGATGAGTTTTAATGATTAAACTTTATCCTGGCTCCAAAACTACCTCGAGAATAGTGTATTTCGTAAATATAATCCACTCCTATTCTTGATTACTGACCTGTTAGATCATATTGGCTTGACGGTACTGCCCTATGCAGATGACACAAAGATATGGGAGTATATAACAAGTGGGAATGATACATCTGAGCTGTACATGGATCCTACAATTATAAAGGGATGGGGAGAAGACAATTGGTTAAAACGAAACCTGTCGAATGTCATGTCATGAGCATTCTGCCTGATTCGACATAAAGCACCCGCACCCTCCACGGGAATTCACTCCTGATTGTTTTCTCAGAGCGCGATACCGAGCTTGTACTGATGGAGAGCTTGAACACTAACTCAAATTACGTAGGGGATGCGGCAAATGCAAACGCACCTCTCTAACTTATGTATGGAAAACTCGGAGCATCTAAACCAGAACTGTTTTTAACACCGTTTAAGACATACGCACATCACCCTGAGATCCACAATGTCTATGCCTCCACATCTTCAGAATAGACATAAATCCCTTAGACCAATTACAAAGACGGGGAATCAAGTGGGTGGTAGGTTTAAAACGTAAATCGTACGAGGAGACTCCAACACCTGGGATCATTCTCATTAAGCAAAAGCAAAATAAATGTACGCCGAGAAACCGCAACGCGAGCCTATTACGAGAACACCATTGTGGTGTTTGAATGAACTGATGACTCCTTTGTACTTGTTGAATGTTTGATTTCGAATTCTAAATACAGTACATTCGTTAGTGCTTGTGTAGTACTTCTTGATTCAATTGCGTTATCCCTGGGAATATTAGTTCATACTATAATTCAAATACTTCTAATTATCATAACCATTTACACGTTCCTCAAGGCAACACACAAAAGACTGCACATCAATGAGCGAACACTCAGGGACGCTTCAAATTTTTCCCATTACGATTTGACCTCCAGGCTGAAGTAACCACAGCCCCATCAGTGGATAGCTTTAAGTTTAGACTTGATAAACACGTACTCGACCATGGATTACCATGCCCCTCTTGAGCAAGCTGCGTCTGATACGTGTCTCGTAAATTACCACGCTTGTCAATACCGCAAGTCTATAACTCATTTCTATCTTATTGTCATAACCGTTTCTCACTTATTATTTTAATTTCATCTTACACACTATCAAAAAATTAAATTATTTGCTGTTCACGATACAATCCTCTTCCTTTAACACTTCAAGTATCACGTTATAATTTTTGCATTGCAACTGACCAGCCTCCTGCCACGTAATGTGATTAAGTTCGATACTTTCAGACTCGTCACTGGATAGTCATTCGCTGCCACATATATGAGACATCACATGGAGGAAGTAGTTCAATTGTTTTTACTTGCGTATGGTTAGATTTAGTAGCGAACGCGATGATATTTAATTTTGGATCTCATAACAGACGCCGAAAACAAGACCCTAAATAATCTAAAAATAAAAACAAAGTCAACATAATGATGGTTCAGTTAAAAAGCTATTTATATTTATACATTTTTAAGAGGATAGAGAAACGTCGAACAATTTGAGTTACTGATGAACACATCGTTATGTAAATATGGTGTGAAAATATTAACACACTTGAAACAAGAATATTAGTTATTAATGCTATCTCGACTATAGCGAAGTTTGGAAATGACTGGAACAGAGATAAATGTTTCTTGATCATTCACGACAATTTCCAAAAGTAAGTAACATGAGAATAGATTTCATAGTGGAGTTAATTGACAGTTTGTGGTCCGAGTTTGGTCGAAGTAAAGGGGAACATTGTCATTGCGTTGAGCTGTAATAACCACATAAAGAAGCAATAAGTACGATTAATTATGTAAATTCTATTATTATTATAGTAAGTATTGTTGACAGTGAAAAAAAAATCAACTGGTTATGTTCCAATCACTAACATGTAAGAAATTTTCGATCATAATGAACGGTTGATGGTTTTGATACAGAGGTAATCTTTATTTAGATTTGGGACAATAAATTTTTACTTGGTATGACAAGAAGAGAAAACCAACTGGTTGAGAAATGAATCCTAGCTGAACGTGTCATAATGAAATGACTTTTTCAAGTGTTATCCATATGATAATAGTGCAAAACAATAAAAATCCAAAAACGAAAATATTAAAAAGTGGCAAAGTTTCTATGGATTACTGACTTCGTAACGTAGACATCTCAATAATGTGAATCAGATAAAAAAATTACGACATTATGTTACCAGGACAACTGCATTTGAACTATCGAACTTTCTAAGCCGATGAAAGCATTAGTTTTTATCAGCGCTATACAATGCTTTTATTTCCATAAGAAACGTCCAAGTCCTAAAATCGGAGTGTATTTAGAACATAATAATACAATGATTTCATGATAGAAAACAGAAAACAAACAGTATAAGATGGAGGTAGTCTGTTACTTCGAACAACACTACTTTACATCTCAACATACTACATGAGATGTTGAGTCACCTAGAATAGTGGTCACAATGAAACTTGATTTACAGAATTCGATGAACACTAAAGAGAGAGAACATAAATAGAACAGAAGTCTAACATTTGAGGTAAATAAAGTTAATTTTAAACGATAACCACACTTCACAAATGTAAATTATTACCTTATTATACGAACTGTTACGTTTTAGGTTTGACTTTACCACATCAGAATCAATTGGTGTGTTCACATAGTCAGGACTGTCTGAATAAATTTTATTAACATTTCTCTCAAGATATCTATCATCTGTAATTAAATCATTGATATCTGGAGAGCTTGTTAAAAAAAGACATTCTTTGTTTGGTGGTTGATTTCTGTCACGTGATTGTAGCTGTTCATTTATGATAGCTAAAGTTTCTGCACGCCTCTTGTGTAGTTTTTCACGTAAGTCAGCTAATTCTGTAGCGTAAGCAGCTGCATCTATTTCATCGATACGGCAATTAGTCTAAAGGCATAAAATATGTTATGAAATAATAATTTGGACGTTTTAAAAGTGCTTAGGGTTTCAGTGATTGATAAATATCCTATCATAGTATCCTGCATAGTTTCTACCCTTGTTGTTTCATTTATTATCCCGAAATTTATGAGAACATGGAAGATTTAACAAACTACAACAATTTACTGTCTACAATGGAATAAAAAGAGTAATAACAATACCTTCTGACATTCATCGTCACGTAATTATACTTTCGTCCTAGGAAGTACAGTTATCCATAATATAAGCATCCCCATCTCTTATATGAGACTGATGTTTCAAAATTGTAGCACAAAGTTCAAGTTGAGTGTCCTAAAACAATACCTAAGTAATTCAACATATAAATGCCTTCCATGAATATATTTTGTTGAGTGTAATGTTACTTAGTAACCATGTACAGATTCATGTATCAGAATTTTAGATACCTGACTATTTCAATCTAAGAAGATTGAGTAAGATTCAAAGACATGATACTACAGAAGGTTGAAAGCCTTGATAACTAATCGACAGCTACAACACTGTTAAACGTCACAGTAGAAGCTTAGGAAGCCTTTGTATAAGATCAGTAGGACAATCTATTGTGATCTTTGATGACGATTATTCAAAAACATGATTGAATGCATTTTTCAATAAACTTTTATTTGTTATTTGAAAAATCAACAAAATAGAATATCCAGAGACGAAATACGGCAATATTTGTATATTTTTAATTTGTTTTGGTGACAAATATATACAATTCGATATTTTAAGAAAATAAAACTAATGTTCTAAAAACGAAGGAGCTCAAGCAGTTATGATAAATTAATAGTTGCAGAACTTCTGATTTCCATCACATCTATTTACCATAAAATGTATTGAGAAAAATCCAAGGCATGATAATTCAACATCGTGTTGCCACAGAATAAAAACTGGATAATCAAATACTGTACTTAGGGGTTGAACTGCTCCCAAAATGTTAAATGGATAGTAAAGAACATTCGACCATAAATGAATTTATGATTAGGACTATAACTAGAGCATTTTCTTAGTAATTTTAATTTTCGTATACCCGAAAGTAAGTGTTTAGATACTACTGTCTTTCCTATATCATATCCATTCAGTTACAAACTTATATTCTCATTATGCTTAATATAATCAAAGTACTTATATTTACTTGAAAGAGTATGCAGCGTCTGTTAATGTAATAAATTACTACCGTCTTACCAATCGAGTTAATTCTTGCTCTAGCTTGTTTAATTCACATTGGCGACGTCGAATATCCAGTTGTCTAAAATGACAACGAGATTCTTCAGCTATGCTTAATTCATGTAATTTCACTTCGCGAATTAATGCACTTAATCTGTAAAGTAATAAAAATAACAACCAAATGCTAAAAATTCGGTTATTAATAAAAGTTATTTAGTTTTTAAGCAGAGGCCTAACTAGTAGGCTCTGTTCTTGATCACAACAGAAGCCTTTTATCACAATGGATTTGAACTGGTTTTACTTCTTATTATGTACACAGCCCCGTCTGATGAGTTTTTCCGCATCAAAGTAGTTCACAAAACGCTAAAAATGATTCAGCGACAATCCCTAACATTTACTGAATGACAATAATTATTAGTGCTTTTTGTAGAAAACTGGCTGTCATCCTAAAGCATCTTCGACGAGGATCTATCTCAAACTTCAACAGGTGCTTAACTTGGTTTCCCATGATATACATTCTTGGGATTTTCATCATACTGAACTAATAGAAATTTTCTTGTTGCAAGGTTTCTGCATCAAGTGAGACTCAGACACACTGACCTTTATAAATGGTGATAGGATAGTTCAGATGGAAGAATAACCATTCAATACAGTGAGATCAAAAGAGAAAGGTTACAGAATAATTATTCACATAGTAGCCAAGTAAAACACGGTAGATGATACATAGAATTTAAACAACTGTTGATGTTTATTGAGTTTGTTTAGTGCACTGCTGAACTCGGTTATTCTGTTTAAAATTAGCCTCTAAATAAATTTTTCATTCAAAACTAACATTGGGGATGCTAGACACCCAGAAATAACTCGATAAACACCTCATTTATGTAATTTTGTTTTGGAAATTTTAATTTCTCGTTTTTGCGCCAAAAGCACAAATTTTTACCTTTAGATTGTATTTCCTACTTAAAGGGACCGTAAATATCATTGGTTCGTTGACTCATTTAATATGCTACTTTGTGAGGTTTCCAAAGGACATTGTTATGCTATATATCTATCTATCTATATATATATATATATATATATATATATATATATATATATATATATATATATATATATATATATATATATACAATTGGGTTGTGTTTGTTGATGCCCGCACTTCTAGCTACATGTGGCATATACCATTTCCCTCATCTGAACCTGATCTTCTCCCTCTAGTTAGCAGGGCTGGGACATATCGGAATAGTTTAAATTGTTTTGCTGTTGTGTCGCTGATCTTTCATTCTGTTGCCGATTTAAGGTGATCTCGTAACATTAAAGCATAGCAATTCAGTGACGAGGTCAGTGCAACCATGGATCATTCAAAAGTAGAATTGTTGTTGTAACAGCAACCGAATGTTATCAGAAACGAAAATTACGCCTACCACACAATCGAGCACTTCTATCTCTGCTCCTGAGCCGTCAGTTGATGGCATCGCAAGCAGTATCGCCGAATTTCATTACAATCCCGAAGCCAATGTTACTTTTGATATGTGGTTCTGGTACTATGAAAACGTAGTTAAATCTGATTTTGCCAAAGATGATGTTTGGAAGATTAAATTGCTACTTCGAAACTTGCGTCCAAGTGAGCTAGACAGGTACCGTAATTTGATTTTACATCTAAACCCATGTGACCGCCCATTTTCGGACACTATCCAGCTGTTGAGCCAACAGTTTGGCTATGAACGAAGACGCTGATTTCCTTACGCAAGTGAGCATCGTCAAACGCGAGTGCGAACGCTTCCGGCTGAAGTCACCGACTAAAGATCGGTTTAAAGCCCTCATCTGTAGTGCACAATCACAAAAGTTCAGTGGCATTACAACACGGTTACTCAGCCGATTGGACCGAAATCCCAAACCAACTCTCAAGGATATTGCAAACGAATATCAATGTTTAATTAATCTGTAACACAACACTACAGTGGTCCGGTGTGGTGATTCCGATAGTTCGGAAGTTCACACAGTTCAAAAGCTGTCAAACACAGACAAATTTGCCCCTGCTATTCCTAATCCATCTCATCCGAGCTGATTACAATGGATGAAAACTAATTCTCCTGCTCCCTGCTGGCACTGTAGTACGTGGCATTATGTACGAAATGTAAATCCGCTGATCACAAAGACGAATTTTAATACAAGAAACTAAATCGATCCAGAAGTACTAAAAAGCCTATTTCCAGATCATGCACAAATTCATTGAAACTATTAGAGTCCTGTCAGAGCTCAACCCCAGGTGAGAGAAAATTTATTACCATTAATATCGAGGAGAATCCATTCAGATTGCAAATAGATACTGCGTCAGACATTACCATTCTCTCACGGGAATTCCGGACTAAAATGAGCAGCCCGCACATGGTCCAACACAGAAACCGTATTCGTTGGGACAACTAGATTGTAGTGCCTTTCCGTGAATTGATGTTTACTGGAGTATGTTACATAACTCCAGCTGGCCTAAATTTACTTAGTTTAGATTAGTCCGACCAGCTGCAGCTAGCTGACGTCCCGTTAAGTACCATAAGCCATCTGGTAAGACAACTCCGTGAACTTGACGTATATACGACGAAGTTAATTACGGAGTTTTCAACAATTTTCCAGCCGTTGTTGGATCGGTGTTCGGCTATGAAAGCAACCCTTCGGTTGGCACCTGGGACTAAACTCGTTTTCCATCCGAGGAAACCAGTACCATATGCAGCATTATCAAAAGCTGATGAAAAACTCAATCGCCTCCAACTACAAAGAGTTGTCAAGAAGGCTAATGGCACAATACGCATATTTCGCCGCAGGTTTTAATGAAGCCCTAGAGCAACACCATTACCACTACCGATTCCCGTAGAATGTTCACTATGCTAAACGGTGGGAAGTTCTTTGCAAAGCTGGACGTTGATGATGCCTATTTACAAATGGAAGAGGATGAAGAAAAAAAGAGAAATAGTAACCATTAATATTTATTGTGGTTTATTTCAATATAATCATCTACCATTTGAAGTTAAGACCGCCCAATCTATTATCCAGCAGCTGATAGATACCATCCTATCGTGTGTCTCGGGGGATCGCAACTTATCTTGACATCTTAATTGTTGCCACGTCGCCAGAACAGCTACTGGGACGCATAACGGCTATACTACAGCGAATCAAAGATAATGAGTTCTGACTGCGTCCAGAGACGTGTCAGATTTTCTAAAGGTCGGCAAAGTACTTGGGTTTCATCTTTGACGATGCAAGCCGCAGACAAGATCCTGAAAACACTCGAGCTATAAAACTGATGCCTACTCCCATCAATGTTTTTGCCCTACGATCATCTTTGGGACTAGTTAGTTATTACTCGGTTTTTGTTCCGTCAGTGTATGACATCCGCGCCCCTCTGAATTGTCTTCTGAATAAGAATACCACTTGGAACTGGACGAAAGAATGTAAAAGCTGAAGACGATCATTAGCTCGGAGTTATAACTAACGCAACATGATCCATCCATGCCAATCACCATAAATGCGGATGCTTCAGCTTTTATCTCACATCTATCATGCATACATGCCACACATTAACTCCGTCAGAAAAATATAGCCAGATAAGAAAAGAGTCTTCCCCTTTGTCTTTGTAATGCGCCGTTTCCACAAGTGCTTCTATGGTTGAAGATTTACTCTTCCTAAAAGACTACAAGCCTCTTCTCACAATTTATGGTCCAAAATCTGGCATTCCATCCCATTCTGTAAATCATCTCCAGTGTTGGACCATGATATTTTTGGGTTATGATTTCGACATACAATATCGACGCACTCAACACTAGGTAGGCAGACACATAGCAACAAAGTATCTGCAAGGATATAAACAAAAGATCTAACAGATGTATTTAATAAAACAGGCTGACATTTAAAGTTAGACTAGTTGACAAATAACCTTTTACGTTGTTCACGTAGCTTATTTTCTTCTTCAGCTAATAACGTCCTTCGATGATCTTCAGCATCTAAAAGTAACTGCTGCTGGCGATACCTGGAAAAAATAAAGAACAATGAATTTTAAGGCTGAAACTGTCGGTAAAATGTTACGAGATCATGCGTGACGTTCCAAAAAAACACCAAAGGTTCGCGATTACACGACATTACTCAGGTCGGCAATAAAATACCACCTCAACAATTATACGAGTAGCTTTTTGTGATTTCCGAACGATCATCAATTTTGTTAGCATCCAGTTGAAGCACAAATCCATTATGTAGGGTTAATACGACAAATTTACACTAAAAATGAATAGTTAACACAAACCCATGAAAATGATTACATTAACAAATTAGAAGAAATTATGCGCAATACATAAATTATTGTACCATATGATTTCATCACGTGAAATACTCAAAAAAAAACCTAGTATAGCCTAGATAATATTCTAAATGAGTTATCATTCGATCCATTTTATTCTCATGGATATTTTGAGAAAACTTCCATGAAAATAATGTTAAATAATTGGTTGACACGGCACTACGATTTTCAATGTTCAAAAATATGAACGATTGGGTGATTTCTCTAATACGAGAACGACTGGATGGGTTGATACAGAACAAAACTGACGAATAAAATCGCACAAGAATAAAAAAGGCAGAAGACGAGACCTTCAAGTCAGCTATAATGTTTTGAGAAAAGATAAATAAATGAGTCGCATTTCAATATAGATATATGGCATAATAGCCAATAGGAGTATATGTGGATTATTTGATATTCTCACATTGAAACGGTCATCATAATACTGAAGTATGAAAGGTTACAACAATCATTGTCGTTGTAGCAACACCACCATAATTATTTGGGTCAACCCCAACACAAACTAACAACTCATACGTACTAATTTATACTGTAATATACTTGTCTTATTATTTCAAAGTCATATCATTAAAAACAAATTGTTGACGTACAGTGAAATTGAAATCTCAGTCAAAGGTGTAAAAAACAGCAATAAAGTACTTATTTACTTTATGAAACTCAGTATTATCAGATGTTAGCCGCTTTGTAAGTGAAATAGAACATAACATATGCAGCGTTTGAACACATGAAATACCTGCTTAGGTATTACTATAGTTTATTTAAATAAAAACTAACCAATTGTGTTCTTCATTTGTCATCAATTGAGCTCGACGTTGCATATCTTCGACAGTAGCTCTAAATAAATAATAAATTTAAAACACTTTCAAAATAGTTCTTCAACGTGTCTAGAAAACTGAACTAACTAATATATATGAAGACCACGTTAGTTTGAAAATAGGTTTCGTCACGAAATGATATAGGTTAGCGAAACACTGAAAACAAGAGGCTATTGGACAACTGTTCCCATTACTACAGGTTCTGAAACTAAGTAAAACAGCTGTTTAGTATGTCCTGGTTTTCAGAGGTTTCCCAGCTGAATTTAGTTTCTGATAAATGATTTCAAGGGTTATACATCGGGTTATTTTAATTGTTTACTCTTTGGAATTATGGTTAGTTAAAATCAATGACAAGATAACGAAAACGAATTTACACTTCATCCTTCTCTAGACAAACTGAAGGTTAGCGCTTTCGCCATCGTCGTGAAAATAATAATTTGTTCATGTGTGAGGAACACAATATAAAAAATAAACATTGTTATGCTACTCCCGAAGTACATACTTTTATTTATTTGTAGACCACTCAATTGGTGCAATAATACATTCAACAACTAGTTTGCATTAAATTTGAAGATCTATCTACTTGTTCTACTGAGTACTAATGGAAGAAATCAAATTTGTGAGGTATTATCAGCTGGTGTATGAGCGAGAGAAATAATTGGTTATTTGCCTAGTTCGACTAGTAGATAGTCTGATAGGTATTATATGAGTTCTTTATTTTCCTACCCTTATTATTATTGTGATTGTTGTCGGTTGTTGGTGTGGAAATATACCCACGTTATAGTTAGGCCAGTCACGTTCTTGATCTGAGTTGTGTTGAAGTCCTATAGAGTAGACACTGAGAGGATTATCTCACATTCTAAAATGAAGCCTACTTAATCACAAACATAAAACTACTAATCTGCAACTGATTTAAAAAAGCATCAGGATTAATATTATGTAATGAGGTATCAGTAATAATGTCAGCTTCCCAATTGACTGAGTTCTACGAAAATAATGATCTAAAACTCCAAGCTGTTTCCTTAATTCATGTAAAGGAATGATTATAAATCTATAGCTTAATTTGGATTCTAGTATAATTAAACTATCCACAATATTGTGTTTGCTTTATTAAGACAAATAAACAAAATTACTTATTAATCCTGTATTGAACAAGTCAACCAGCATACATGTAAATATCGTGAAATATCCAATTAGTGGTGACCGCTAATACCTACCATTATCCTAATATTTCTCCATTTTTATTTTTTATTCAATTTGTTGCATTCCATAAACTAAGTAAGAATTTTTCTTTCGGAAGATGAAAAACCACTATGTACATTTATACAAAAGATGAAAGTTTGTTCAGTTTATCGCAGAAAAAAACATGGTACATCAAACTTTTCGTCAATAATTGATCAAAAGATTTATTCACTGTGTTTCGTTGTTTTTCCCAGTGTACTTAGTAAAGTATCTTAAAATATCTAAAATAATTGTTTTCTTTTAATACTGAGACTGTTCATTTCAATTACAACATGTTACGAGTGGAGAGACTGGTAAAAATAATGACACTTAAAAATTCAAGTTAATAAACAATGAGGGAATCATCATGGTTCAAAGATGTTGCATTAATTACTTTAAACACATTCTATAAGATAGTCATCTATCATTAGTGATGTTCGATGAGTTTCATACTTATTAATTATTGATCAAAACAGAGTTTAAAATATTTCATTATCATTATTACTAAAACAAGGACATTTCAATGAGATCAAGTATCAAATTACGTACTTAAAGCAAGGAAAATTACTCAGAAATGAACTGAAAGTTAGAAGAAAACAGTAATCTGACAGAAAGACGGTCACCATAACATAGAACGTTGAAGCTGATTGCAATAATTTAAGTTGCCATACCTTATGAGATTGTTCATAAGGCAAAGTGAACAGGAACGAAAAGTAATCAAAATGAATGAGAAAAACATAAGATAGAAGAAACAAAAAAAACAGGACAAAATATAAAACATTTAAGTATGAAGAACCAAATAAAACAGACTGCTTCAAGATGCAATGAAACCTACTTTTGCCTGAGATATTCATTTTCTTCCTCTCGTATACGTTCACGTTCTTGTATATGGTAATTTACAATGAATTTAGGATAACGAGTGATAATTGGATAGTATGGACTTGTCAGTGGTTGAAAAGATGGGCAAGTATTTTTGTTTTTATTTTGAGTATCCGTTTGTATAAGCGAAGACAATAATCTCTCTGGATGTATATCTGAAGGTATTGAAGTGAGTAATTGATGAGCACGCTCAATAATATTTGATATTGGTAAAGTACTTTGACTATGGTAGTATGCCTGTTGACAAACGAAAAAGTGACTTTTGTAAAAGCGCACAAAAATTGGGACAAGTACGATTTATAAAAAAAAACTTGTATCATAATGACAATAATAATTTGTACGATGATGATTTTGAGAAGTAATTTGACGAAAATTCTGTCAAATAAATGAATAAGCTATATTTCGTATTTTTACAGTTTCAGAAACAAATGTAACAAAAAATTTCAATATAAACATTCGGACAGTATAATTGCATGTGATGAGACAAGCACAATACCTTTAAAGCACAAAACTGAAATCCCGTGGTCTTGATATCAAACTTCGTTCAATTTGTGATAAAGCTTAATCGTTTCACTCAATATGAGTGACGTGTAAATTGACTAATTTAAATACATATCAAACAGATTCTGCTTATTTCACTTGTATTAGTTGTTTGAATCTTTTAATTGATGTTTAGGACTGCAATTGATCAGTCTGTTTTTGAATGTGTGCATCATGTGAGGATTGCCTTAAGTCACAAGTATTATATGCAGATACTGATCAATTGCAATCTTAAACATCAGTGTGAAGACTTAAACAACCAATACAAATGAATTGAGCTTCATGCCATTGCACAAGCCAGTGGTAATCTGAACTCAGAAGCAAAGTGGATAATGAGATAGTGTTTGGAGCGAACGGTACTGAGTTCGAGTTCTGGAGTGAACGTCAACTCTGGGATCCAGATGCATCCAGTCGACGAGTCCAAAGTAGGTCAAACGAGGGTCTTGTACTCCACTGCTAGCCACCATCTATTTCTACTTGTATTTGCATTTCACATTTACTGAACAGAAATAACATTCGGAATATGTCGATAATTTTATACATTACGTAGCAATACCAACAGAAAATATTTACTTCAAATGTATCAGTATTCTGAACCATAAGAAGTGGTCCTCGAGCGCAGATAGAATAGCTTGCAACTACAGCAAGTAATAGACTAGGTGAATAACATATTAATGAATCCCAGAGACACAACCATTCATCTTCATTAAATACTTCACTTAGACCAGTTTGCAGAAGCGGCCAAGCATAAATCTGAAGCGATTAAAAAAATCCAAGTCAATCACACAATATAGTAAGATGGGGGATAAAAAATAACAAAAAAAACGTTCAAACACAAAATAAACTGATTAACTGAGAATAGCTGCAACTGGCACATACGCTTACCTCGGTCGTAATGTTATATTGCACAAAATGACGATACAATTCTGGATCCGCGTAAGCGATAATATTTTCAATCATGCAAAGAATATTAATTGGGGGATTTGGAAAAAATTCGAACCAAGTACCGCACCAATTGACTGTGAGCAAAAACACATAAATGAAAACAAAACATAAAATGAAACTCCATGTAATTTTGTTTTTAACTATTCATGTGTCAAGATCGTTTACTCACACGAAAAAGTACGCATAAATATATTCCTGCACCAAAACACCTATTTCCTGTTATATCATTCCAATTCATTTGACATAAACTACAGCCTAGGCATATTCTTTTACAACCAACCGACCACGTCATACCATTCTCTTTTGGTTTCAAGGTTAAACAGTTCATGTCAATCGAAACACACGTTCCAGGGCAATATAAATAAACAGAATTTCCAAATAAACGTGAAATTTGTAAAATTAAATGACAATAAAGGCTCTATCCATAAGTTATCACTGTTCAGAGTAAGCGTTATGATATTTTTAGTATGAACCAGGAGGCCAGTAAATAACTGTAGCATTATTTTAGTAACGTTAACAGTTTAATGGAAAATTGGCTAAAATTCGTTAGGTACATCCATTAATCACTCTCTTGAATTTGAAACTCAATGATTCACTTCCACAACTTTCATCATCAAAGTAGACAACGCAACTGGTCGAAAAATTTTTCTGAAGCAATTACTATTTTTTTGTTATAAACGGATGGCTAATACACTGTTATGATGAAATTACACTGAATTCCATTTTTTAACTAGTAATTTCACTTCGAAATTTTCCATCCATTGATGTGTAACCCAGTTTAATAACAAAATGTTTTGATCACCACCTGAGCTGGCTATCGTATATTAGACTATAATCAACAATACAGTGAAGATTACGTGATATTCGATAAATGGATGCAACTGATAGCAAAAATTTAGCAAAATAACTATGAATTATGGGATAATTACGAGATACGGGTTTTCCTTATTTTATGGATACATTTATGATTGACAACGTATTATGTAGATTTTGACAATACCGTTTGACCATACATTTTGAAAAGAGTGGGAAATGATTTTGATACGCAACTATAAAGAAGACGGTTTCTTAGTTACATATTTTATGCATAACATCTACCTTTATAATTCAGTAACTATAGAACACTTACTCAGTACTGTAGATGCAACTTCAAATGCATGCAACAGATTATTCTGATGTAATTTTAGAAAAGGAAAAACAAACAACGGTAACCAATCTGTTTCACCAAATAATGGACACCAATAAGCCAATGCTGAACAAGTTCTTTTGTTATTGTGATTTGATTTTTTTCAAAAATACAACAAAGAAAAATTTGAGAAAGATTTTTATAACAGTTAGATTGGACAGAATAAGTGATTGCAAACACCTTAGTGCCAGTTGTATATCACAAATGAGTATTTGCTACAGAAACATTTTTGTATAGTAAAGTATCAAGACTTTAAAGATTATAATGGAGAATAAATTAGTTTGTCATTGTAATTATCAGAGTTATGATATATTATTCGAATACATAATCTCGATATAATAGCATGGTTCGTTATACTTTGTTTAGGTAACACAGTGATTTGAATTGACAAGGAATACTACAAATGGCAGTGACCAGCAAACGGATCAGTAGGTCGAGGAGTGACTATTACAAGTTAGTAATATCGAAGTCAGCGTGTATTCCATCATAACAATAAGAAAATTTTCACAGTAAACTTTATCAACTATACAGGTTTGTACAAGTAACTCTCTCCCTCTCTCTGTGTTAACCTTCATGTAATCATAAACCCAGATACCTAGTTTTCAATTGTCTTCAATTGATGCGTACTAATTTGTGCTCTTCTATGCTGCTTCTTACCAAAACCAAACTTTCAACATCCTAAAAATTCAGGTTTTAATGGACAGTAACAACAGTTCTTTAACCACGTAGTAATGACATATTACCGGAGTAAACAATAAACAGAATTTCGAATTATGTTTGTAGAAATTTGACAACAAATAAACATTTGGAGATTCAGTAAATGTATGGAAGTGAAACTGTTTTATTTGTCATAGCTATCACTTATTATATATCATATAACTGACATAAGGAATGGAGTATTTCAGAAGGGTATATTAAATCTTTTTTACCACATAACGATTTCTCTTTTGGAAAATAAGGAAACTCCCAATTATACTTATGAATAATTAGCTAATCACCCAAAGTGAGCATTTGTAATTGGGAATCTAAATACTGACATTCACGATTTTATTTTATTTTATAAAGAATCCTGAATTTATATGCTATAATTTTAAACGATGTTTTATCTTTTTCTGGATGATTAATTTCGAAATAAAACTGTAGAAACAGAAAAGAATTCATTGAAGAGAATATTCTGCCATCATACGTTATAATTTTTATTTAGACGTAGTTGGATTTCGTCTATGATTTATAAAATTCTTATTTCACATCATTTTGATTAATTCGTACAATAATATCAAAATCAGAAGAAATCATACAAATAGGATCAATAATTGAACCTGAATCTGCATTTCAAGGAATTTGGGATCCACTTTTTTTAAACAGCTATCTGTATATGATGTACGCTGAACATCAAGACAATCAAATATCTGAGGTTAAGCAAAATTATAACCAATTACGAATTAACCAAAACTGCCTTCAGTCCCAAAACCGAATAAATACTGTAGAACCAAAGGTGAATACTAATTTTACTTGAAATTTAAATCTTACTTTATCAATACATGTACAAACACATCAACAGATTGTAACTGGAGAGATGCTAGTTTTAGTACATAGTAGACACGATGTTCAGTGTGTTGTGTACATGTTTTCATTCTCAGTTTGATAACAAATGAATTGTAAGTGCAAAACACTAAGTGAAAAGTACACTACATAAAAAATAAAGCTAAAAAACCAACCTGACCAAAAACAAGGTGCAACAATTTTTCACAAATTTCATGACATTCTTACAAGTTAGAATTAAGTAATCATAGGTAGAACAAATTTATAAAGGTGATCTCGGAAGACTATTTAAATCAATGAGTTAACATTATGGGATTTACTTGCCTTAAAAATATCTAACTTGAGCTTAGTATATAAATAACACCATAAGGTATGGATGGAAGCTATGTTTACAACGCTGAAAAATTTAGTTCATTACTATTACTAAAATCTAAAAAATGTCATACTTGGTACGCAACAGAAAGAGTCGATTAAAACAGGCAAAGTATATCAATCACAAGAAACAAACTGTTAGTGACACTTACATCTATAGATGAAAGCTAACGACAATTGTTTCATAAAAACAACAGACAAAATATCAGTGTCAGATAATCGTAAAGAGGTGGTCAATAAAAATAACGCAGATGACAAAGTATTTCTTACTTTTGCAAGGCTTTCAACAATCTTTGACTCCGCATAGGATAACGCGTAGATAATAAATCATAAGCTGGATGAATACCTTTCTTTTGTAGAATGCTAAAAGCTTGGGTATTACATGGGATTTGCAAAATGGAACGCCAAATGAATAACCTGTTATTAAAATATAATAGGCATGGAACGATATATATATATATATATATATATATATATATATATATATCTCGTGAATTCGAAGTGTTTCTAGAACAGTGCACTCGTTAGAAATCTATGATGAAATATTTCACTTGTATCATATTTAGCACCAGAATAACAAAAGTAAAAGTGCACTTTACAACAATATCCATAGAAATGTGTTAGCATTTTATTCTACTGAGGTTAAACAAAGATCTCTCTCGATAATACTGTTTATAACGCATGATCACAGTGTACATAAGATACTTCAATAGTTAAAATCACAGAATGAATAGTGCATATCCATTGTCAAACAATTTGAAAATAAATAGAGGGATGTAAAAAATCACACAGTAAACATAAGTGAACGTTGATTATGTCATTTAACCGGAATCATACACCGAAAGAAAGTATTGTTCAGTTTAGTCCGTTAACTGTAAACTAATTAAGATCAATTGAAAACAATAATTCAATATCAGTCCCTGTATTTCATGATCAATCACCTAATCAGGAGTTGCGTGGCTTTCTAAACTATGCGAAGTGAGAAAACATACAAAATCATTCCGTTTCTTATTTCCAAACCCTGTAAAATGTAGCCTAGTTTAATACGTGAATGAGAACTTCATGTCCAACATTATCAAAGTTCGGAACAAGATATTAGAAATACCATATTATTCGCGTAATGTAGGCATATCATGGCATCTGTAGGGAGGGAATTCAATGGAAATTCGAATGTAAACTGTGTTACCTCTTCCATTATCATATCTATAATACAGTGAAACAAAAAAGCTTGACGAATACTACCCGTTACCGCCGCCATAAAAGATCCTTATCTAAGCTGTTATAATAAAGTATTAGTTTGAACTAGAACCCTTTAGTAATAATGGTTTTTGAGAGACTCCTGAAAACCATGTACTATCAAAAAACCTCCAGTTCAATCGAGCCAAGTGCATTCACTAACAAACAGACAACTATATTTCAGTCGTTTAGCAAACATTATTGAGTTCTAAAACATACAGAAGGATATATAATTAGTGGACAATCGTTTATCACGCATAAGATCAACCCAAGTTTCCTGTGCTTGATGTTCGAGAACTTCAGTAAGGTATTAAATGATAATATGCTTTAACATATTGAAGATCGTGCTAGTTAGTTTAATTCCAAACAGATATCACAAGAGTATTTTAGCACTTTCTAACAAAGAAGAGTCATCAACAATTAAGATGGGTTTAAGAAGACTATTCTTTATTTTACTAACATTAGCCGGTACCTTACTTCGTTACACTAGTAGTTCCTGACCACTATATCTAAAGACTTTCAGTACCAGATAGTTATATAATTATTTGTTGCTTCCTTCCAGATTGGTCACATAAGTTTGAATTTTGAGACGTGTTTGTAGGTCAACGGCAATATTGTATTCCAGATGTGATCGAGTTATAGACGGAAGATTAGCCGTAAGCTAATTAAACGGTTCCTCGAATTGTGTTGCCTAACGTGTCAATCACCTATCTTATCAAGGACGAACTCTTAAGAGACAATCCCTTCCAATAAATCATAAAGAAATAGTGTCACTTAACTGCGGTGAATTCTTCATTTCTATTACTTCTGCTTTTAATTCACTTTGTGATCGACCGACAACTAAATAGATTATTGACATGAAAGTGGGCAGCATTTTTTCTGTATTCCATTTTAGTCTTTTCATCATTCAAGTAACTTTAAAGAACAAGCTTAACATAGAGAAAAGACTAATTTTTTCACCGTTATAGGTAACGGTGAACAACTCCATGTCTTTTAGTATCCTTAATTAAATACTAGGTTAAATATCATTCGTAGTGTTACATGAAAGAAAAAGTAGTGAAGTAATCTAGCATTAAAACGGTAACAGAAATTTAGATGCAGAAAACACACTTAAGTTTGAGTAAATTGACTTACGATATTTGGATAAATATGCCCGAGCTGCAATCCAAACGGCGTTTTCATTACAATAGCTGCATCGTCCTATCACTTCATAAATGGATTAATACCAAGCTCCACAACACTGAACCAAGGACTTTTAGATTTCCCAACCAGTATCAGTGACAATATTTTCCGATTTCAATCAATCGCACACGCAAAAACAAATTCAGAAGACGACCAGTGTAGCAGAAGCCTCAGTAGCAGTAAGTCTCAATATACACAAAGGGAAAAGAAAGATTCTCCGATACAACACAGCATGTAACAATCCAATCACAATTGACGGAGAAGATTTGGAAGATGTACAAACCTTTACATATTTGGGGAGCAGATGTGAAGGCATGGATCGGCAAAGCAAGAGCAGGGTATTTATAACTGAACATCCGGAACTCAAAACAACTGTCAACCAACACCAAGGTCAGGATTTTCAATACAAATGTTGAGACAGTTCTACTGTATGGGCGGAAACTTGGAGAACTACGAAAGCCATCATCCAGAAAATACAAGTGTCTAATAACAGTTGTCTACGCAAAATACTTCGGATCTGTTGGCCAGACACTATCAGCAACAACCTACTTTAGGAGAGAACAAACCAGTTTCCAGCGGAGGAAGAAATCAGAAAGAATCGCTGGAAGTCGATAGGACACACATTGAGGAAAGCACCCGATTGCGTCACAAGGCAAGCCCTCACATGGAGTCCTCAAGGCCAAAGGAAAAGAGGAAGAACAAAGAACACACTACGCCGAGAAATGGAGACAGACATGAGAAAAATGAACAAAAATTGGACAGAACTGAAAAGGAAGGCCCAGGACAGAGTGGGTTGGAGAATGCTGGTCGGCGGCTTATGCTCCAGTGGGAGTAACAGGTGAAAGTAAGTAAATAATATTTCAGTATCGAATTTTACTCTGATGGATTATTTAAAACGCTCTATTTTTGACATTGTTTACTTCGTAAAATTAAGGTCGTTCTGATTAGTCTCTGTATGAGGATTCTACCAATAATCTTAAAACACAGTCAAAATAAACTAGATTTTATCTGATCAACATCTGAAATAATGTAAAATTTTAAAGTACATTAAATTACCGATATTTATTTGGAAATTTCCCAAATTCTCTAAGTAATAAACGTAAACGTTTGAGATCCAAAAAACCATTGGTCTAAGGACAGTGACAAATAGAAAAGAATGTAAATAAATTAGATTATTTTGGTAAATTATGTAAAAATATAACTTCTACAGCAAAGCAATGAGTGAATTTACTATAAGCTGTTGGGTAGCCCGGAGTAGTTATTAAAATTTGAAGTAGTTTACAGATAACTTCTTAGTGTCAATCTCACACCTATGTGTTTTCACTTCTGTTTTAAGAGTTTTGATTACTTTTATCATTAGGACTGATAACTTTCAACATAGCTGTAATAAACTATTTACTCTACACAACAAGCACTTTACTAAAATATGCATGATATTCTTCTCTTAGGATGTTATGGTAACCATAATCAGTTAATGATGCAAACAGTTTTAAGAATTAATTTTTTGAAGTACAGAACATGTCAAACAATTTTTAAATACTCCTGAAGTTTTGAAGCATTCGTCAATATTTCCCACAGCCTAGTAAAAAAATAGATGTATTTATCGAAGCGTGCTAAGTCACACTAAAGAAAAACACAAAATAATTATGACAGAATAATTTGAAACCAAATGTATATTAGAACAATAAATAAGACTGTTGTTTGACATTTGCGCATTCTCAATGAAAGGTGTGATTATATATTAAGATGATCAAACCTCGTACGTTCCGCGTATATTTAAACGGGAAATGACCCAGAGTATAGTGAAAGCTATGAGTTGCAAATATCTTTAAAATTATCACGGAGAAGAAAAATGTAAATAGATCAGCATACATTTACTCACAAAAATGAAAATTTTTCCGGTCACGTTAAATGCTTGACGTTTAGGATAATAATCAGCTTAATCTAATGCCATCAGCACCATTCAAGTTCCTACTTCCGGTTTACTTGGAATTAAGTAAACAAAATGTAGAAAATATGACCATTTCTAAAGTACCGTTTTAAAGCTATCCAAGAAATGCTTGTACCCCATGATGTACCAACTCCACCAGCCTACTTGACACTTGTTGATTACCATTACGAGATGAATAACACTTAATTATTTTCTCGTAAAGCATACTAAGTGGGACTGAATGAAGTAGTGTCAACTAGCTTTGGAGAATTAAACGTACCACTTGTATCTAGTCTTCTCTTAACATATTAAGATCTGAAGACGTCACTAATCGTTGCAGCGGATGCGTCTGCAAACAGGGTGGGGACCGCCATTTAACACGAATTTCCTAATACAAGGGAAAAGGTGGAAATGCACGCATCCAAAACACGGACACCAGAGGGTAAAAGCTATCGGCAAATAGTGAATGTTTGCGGAACGTCATTCTCACAAGATATACGGCAGAAAGCTCAGCTTATTGACTAACTAAAAGACCATGCTAGAAGCCTTTAGCTTCAAATCCCAAGTGCTAGCATTCTGAGAATCGACCAAAGCGATGAGCGATAACACTACTAAGATACGATTCCAACACCCAGTAAATGACGGAGAGATTTTTGTCAGCCATATGTCCTATTTCACCTAACTAGAGTGTATCTCACTACGAAAGGGGAATCTATTATTGTAACAATCTCTACTACAGTGAGAATCTTAACAGTGATGATGAACGATGATTGTGAAAATTGATGAAGCTTTTCTTCAGTACCCTTTTGCTGCTAATATATCTTCAACCACTAGCTCTGTGGTTACTGCATCGCATCTATTAAAACATTACATTAACCACTCGAAATGTTGTTGCCAAATACCAACAGTTTACAGAATATCAACCATAACAGTGCATTGATTTAGTCAGGGTAAAAAGGTGGTCACGAAGTTCATGAAATTCATCGTGAATCGGGTCATGGTCTGGAGTTGTTATAACTCACCTCCCTACAACACCTTTGGAAAAGGTGATTAAAACTTTACAATCTACAGGCTAGCATTGTGGTGCATAATGTTTCAAGGGACCAAATGTGATGTGGTGGTAAAGTCAGTAAACATGTCAGCAAATACCACCCTAGTATCATACAAATACATCACAGACGATGTTAATGATCACTTTGTCAATTGGCCTCTCAGCCGTCTGTCAACTGGTGTCGAGATGCCGTGTATAAATTTTATAGAACGTCACCTAAAGTTCACGCTAAACTATGTACAACGGTCAACGTATCTATGGAACCGGATAGAAAGCGTTCATATGAGGGATTCTCAATTTGTTTAAAATATTAAGTTTAGAAATTTACTGAGCAAACTCTACAAAATTTTAAAATACTAAACTGGCCTGTTTCCTGTGTTGAAATAATTCAGATGTATCAAGACTGTTAACGACCAACTTGAGTGATCAAGGTATACACAACGTAAACTTATTCATAAGTCACTATGCAAAATGATGTCAAACACACAGACAGGACGATGACTGTATCCATAATAAGGTTATATAGTCAGTCGGTTTATGAAGGGAAACTGTGGAATTTCGAGATATACAAAGCATCACAAACGAAGGATACTTTAATAAAAAATAGATCACTAATTACCCGTTGTAGATAAAACAATAACATCAACGATTACAAGTTTGAAAAGAACTTACAGGGTTTCTTTTGTGTAATGAACCTGAATCTGTCGTACACATATGTTTATTATAACTTGTAGACATTTTAAAAGTTGGAAAGTCGTTTCTCGTATTGTTTTCTATGTGCTTGAGGGAAGACTTTTCGTTTGAAATCTCATTTTTCACTTTAATTACAGGTATTGATGACTGAAATGGATGACAACAAACAGGATTAGCAAATTTATTTACACAAAAAGCGTGGAAATACTATCAAGCAACATTCAAAATTATACACCTCAAAGCAGCATTTACAAATGAATAGATGCGATTATATTTGTTATGAAGATTTTTTAATTTCAGAAAACATTCCATCAAGGATTAACAGAAAGATGACTGAAAATCAAGGTGCGTTACATATAAGTTGTGTCCTAGTTGGATATAATCTCCGTGAAGTTTCTAGTGTGTTTGATAATCATACGCTCACTAGTAACTTTTCTTGAGAAAAACGTTGAAAGTTCTAGTAAAATATTTCTATCCGCAGGCAGATAAATAAGCACACGCGTATATGAATGGTTAAAAAGACAGAAACCGGCAGAAGAATATTTGTGAGTATAAACAGCCAAGCAGACAGACAGATACACATAAGATTAATCTCACCGAGTAGATAGCAACATGATTATGATTCACGTAGCTCAGGGACCCTATAAGATCCTTTATTTGACAGTCTCAAATTAGTACTGAAAAAATAAGCTTGAAAATCGTGATGTTGCGAGGAAAAATTCATGCAGTACTTAAATAAATAATTTTCACTCAATAACCTAATAGTTTAAAAGCTTGACGTCTTTGGGTCAACTGATACGCTGGGACAAAGCCACCCCCATAAAAACGAAATATATATATAGACTTTAACATTAAGGTTCATCATAGTGTTTGTATGAAATACAATATATTTTTTTATTTTTAACTTTGAAATAATTCTCAGCAGCAAGTTTCGCTGTATTTATACAGTAAAAACATACAAATAGTAAAATCTGACAATAACTTACAAATGGATAACTTACACTATTGAGGAAGTTTAATACTATTGAAAGATCATTTATGTGTAATAAGCCATGTTCATCAAGAATAGCCAATAGTGAATGACAACTGAAAGATATATTTCGTTCTTTTCCCTGGTAATCAGAGAGATCTAAAATACTGTAAGCCGGTAAACTAAATGATGATAACAGTGGGTCTTCTAATGAACCACATCCAAACGTAAACAAGCATTTCCAATAGATAGAAGTTGAGTTCTTTGGTAGTTGATGATTTGGCAAATTTTCTGTGCAAGCTAATGATTTTCTAGAATTTTCACGGGTTCGTATCAAAAGACGTAAACGTTTATCAGTACCGAGTAATAGTAGTAGACCCGATAACTAAAGAAAAAAAAAGTTGATGAACAACAAAAGATGCAGTTTTGTCAAAAAATTCAAGCAGCTTCAAAAACTATGAAATGACATTATTTACTACTAAGTGCTCATACAGGTCGGTTATAATCCACATAAATTAATGGTAACATCACTAACTGCAACAATAAGTGACGTAGTTCCAAATTTCTTAGAAGAAAATTTAAGCCCCTTAAGTTGTAGATATATCATGAATGCCAACCAATCGACTGTTTAATCTACGATATATATATATATATATATATATATATATATATATATATATATTCAGTTTCCGAAAATGGATCACGAATATAAGGTAATATGAAGTTGATATTTCGTTGAATATTAACCAGCTTATCTTGGTTTACGATTCTGATCAAAATAAGGACAGAATTTGGAATGTAAGCGAAAATTTTATAACTTAATCAAATAACAATTACCTCATCACATATCATAGAATCATGGTAAAACTGGTTAAAATCAACCAAACAAGATTTAGGGATCCATTCAATTCGACGAACTGATTTAATTGGTTCAGGAAGTTTAATTAACTCTCGTAAAAACCGATTATTTGAATTTGAACCATCTATATCTGGACTGTCTTGACTTAAACAGTTTACATATCCTTTTAAATCCCATAAGTAGATAAATGGTGAACGACCAGCTGCAAACAAATAATGACCGTTGCTATGAAAAAAAGTAATGATAAAAGACGAAACACGTAGTTGAATAATTAAAAATTCAAAAAAACGAATGAAAATATTGAGATTTAGATTTTAAGATGATAGTTGGAGGTAGTCAACAGGAAACTCTGAACCTAGGTTTCGTGCTACTTGGCACTCATCAGCAAGATGTACCTGTAATCATGCGGGAACTGATACTCCCTGATGGATTTGATCCCGTATCACTCAGCTTTATAGTCAGAGACGTTACGACTGAGCTATCCAGGGCGCGACTGACCTCCTGTAGGACTGACATGTGTTTACAATTGATTGATCACTGGGTGGTGATCGATAGGATTCGATCTGAACTAAGAAGGATTTGACATGGATCACCACGCAGTGATCGATCAATTGTAAATTTAGATTTTATTAGTTTATCTGAATTAGCAGCTGTTATTATTAGACAGATAACTTCTAACCATTGAATCATGTGGCTCAAATAACTGAGCTTTGTCTCCAGACTTGTGCGAAGTACTCAGTTGACAAACAACAATCGCGACACAATATAGTGAGTAATTTATTTATTTGAACACATAAATGTTGGTACAAAGGGTGATCAAATATATATGCGCTACACGGTAACACTGAGAATGGCAAGAGATAAACAATGTAAGGTGCGTACGAGAAAAAGGGGAACAATGAAGAACAGAAATTAGTGAATGATGGTGAAATAATAAAAATGGGAGAGGCGGTTCAGTTAACATAGGTACAACCAGCAAGAATTCTTCTAGTTAAAGAAGTTACGTCCATTTTTTATGAAAAAAGTTACAGCAGGATCGCAATCGGCTTCTATTATGAGCCATATCTGATAACGTCTCTAGCCACTGTGTTGCACCATCTCTAGGACTCCAACCGGGGAGCCATGAAGGACTAACAGAAGCCAGTCCTCCACAACTTTCTTTCATACTACGAGACCATGTCATACACTGACCACCTCTCCACTTTTTTCAACCAGTCCTTGCGTCGGCAGCCTAAATATCAACTACGGTTTGAATAGTGATCAACTATTACTGAGATGTTAGAAAAAATAGATGTTGGTTGGATGGGTCACAGACAGATATGAACATAGGTTAAAAAAAAACTAGCTCAGTGTGTAGTTACATAGTTACTGTGATCATGAATAATTCCAATTTTGTGGACGTTATTATTATTCACATTTTCATCTGCTCACAATAAAAATACTATGCTTAAGTTAAGGATTTTCTATTTCGTTTAGTTAGGATTGCTTGTACTGCAAATAAAAATCTACAAGTTTGCTATCTGAAAGATGGATTTTAATATCTACAATAGTTTCCCCGTGACTCTTTAGAAGACGGCTCAGATAAAAAATCTTAGACACACAACCTTGATAAAGGGAGGTTATATATATATATATATATATATATATATATATATATATATATATATATATATATATATATATATATATAAAGCTTAAATCCATCTAGACAGCACTATTCAAAACTTCTGTACACTAACAAAAATGGAAATACTCTAACCTGGTAAATGCAATTGTTCTATACAGTTGATTTGGATAATCACTGTTACTAAGCCTTAACAAACACTGAAGAGAATCTGTACTCCAAACATAAATGGATCCATCTTGAAAACAGGATATAATTTGCTCACCGCGAGGTGGAATGAAAGTTACCTAAAACGTAAACGAAGCGACAACTATAAAAATTACTCTATGAGAATTTCCACCTAAATTTGAACGAATAGGTTCACAAAAGTTGGGCGCCGAGTTAGTGTAGTATTACTGTGGTGTGTGCTACTTATGTAGACATAAGTAGTATATGGTGCGAGTTAGGAACGTAATGTTTGGCAGCGGAAGATGGGGGAAGATCAAGAAAGAAAGAGCGGGAACACAGTGGAATTTGTATGGAAACTCATGAACAATGAAAGGACAGACAATCGATTGATGTTTGCAACAGGAACAGTCAAGTTTGATATGATGGATTGTTATTTTGCAAATTAACGATTCACTATATGATTGTTAGATTTTAATAAGTAGTTCTGTAATTTGTTGTCAAATACATCCGATTGTTTCCACTAATGTTCTTGTTCACTACCTTACCTTTAAAAAGTTTGGACTAGATTGACAAGCGAAAAGTTGGACTTACTAAAAATTCAATCGCTGAGACTTTTATACATATAATTTTATCCCTCAATGTATAAAAATTACTGTTTATTATTAATAGCATAATGCTAGCTTCAGTTCATTTATGCAATTTTAGAAACATAAAATCCACCAATGAGTGTTTACATTTTTTTCACAGACTAATGTTACACCTAAAGTCAGTTAAATAATGAAATGTTATGTAGTTTTGGGCAGAACAATACATATCCGACCAAAAATTAAACATATTAGTGGACAATAAAATCAAACCAAACCATCTATTTCATTTAGTTTACGATACTAAGACCTTGACACATAGTAAAGTGTACTTATTAACAGCGTAAAACTGCTATTTGGTTTCGAATAAAATGCGATCATGCAAAAACGTGAATTTCACTCATTTTTTCTAAAGACTGGACATAAGATGACGACCAGTGTATCTACAGGACATAAGTAAACTTTTATAAAGAACCTGGATGTACAACTATAAAACTATAACTATCCCGTTCATTTCTAACATCATAATGGGAACGTGGGGGAAATCGACGTTTCATGTGAAGTATAAAATCAAAATTTTTTTGAAAATTAAGACCATTTCAAGATATACGGAGAGATTATATATATAAATGGAAATCGGAAATCTTGAAAAATTTAACTATAGATATTAAAAATTATTAATTTAGCAACTCCATTACAGTTAAATAATTTGGAAGTTCGGAAACAACAAGAAAAAGTCTATCAATTACAAAATAACTATTGAAATAGTGAAATAAACTCACTGATACCATGTTCACTTTTTGGCCAATATGCAACCTGCAACGACATGTACTAGTGTCGAGATCCCATAATATTGTTTCACTCAGGGCAGTAGATAATCCATAACGACCAGAAACTGGTTGAACTGATATATTAGAGATTCTGTACGTGTGACCATTCAAAGAATTAGTCTCTTTTCCGGACTCTAAAGATAAAATATAATGGTAATAGATGGATAGATTTTGCTTTTCGCTTCATTGGTGTCCGAAGTAACAATAACTGATCTCTGTCGGTAAATTAGTTCAATGATATTACTTTCTAATTATATACTGATTAAATATTCTGATAGTGGTTAGAAGCCAAATTAAATGCATAAATTTTATTTTACTGAAGGTTAATCAGCTGGTTGCAGAAACGTAGTACCAACCAGTGTACACTCCACAGCCTTGTCCAAAAAGTTACTGAGATAAGATATCCAACACGTTTTGGCTAATGTGATATACTATTTTTGTTCAAATCACTTAGACACTACTGTTATTCATATTCAGTACTGAACTGGTCGAACTACACCAAAATATGGGTTCTTTGAAGGCATGTCACGATATTATGCAACTTTAATACGAAAATATATCATTCGCCAAGGATAAATTTATACTTAATATTGAAAGCTGCACAGTTTTACATTTTAGATAATGAGAAATAGTAAAGCTTAACGGAACCATGTGCATAAAATATAACATAAAGTTGTGAAACTCAGATAGTTAGGACTTGACAAAAAAAATTTCAATTGTTTGTAATGATCAACCACTAAATCATATCATTTTCAGTCGAAATTATGATTATTTTCTGGGACATTGATTGTACTACACTTCTGAATGAGCAAATATCGTACGTTGATATGATTTCTATCCTAAATTTCTCCTGATATTGAAGAGAAACAAAGCGACAAGTTAGCAACACATCTTCCACAAGAAAACCAGAAATTGGTGAAAATTTTACCCTCGTCTAAGATTCTGATGCTGTTATCATTCAAACCCAGAAGGACATATCCACGTCGTTCGCATGAACATATATATGTAATACCCCGATTCAACGAAGCTATTAATTGATACCTAAAGATATTTGCTGTCAAACGAGCATGATGAATGATGCATACCAGTTCTTCGCAAAGTCCAAACAGTATAAATCACCTGAATTTAATGCAAAGTACAATTTATAACCGCCCGGAGAAAAATGATAAGCAGATATCTGATTTGATATTGTGGGTCTATTGTTATCAGTTGAATCGGATTTCAAAGTGCATATTGAAAGAATTTCACTAAAACATGCGAAATAAAAAAAAGGTATTATCCTGCACGAAATCAGCGAAATAAAGCAAATTTTGTCGATGAAATGACTTTTAATAAGTTTATAGAACAAAACCTAACAGGAGAACAACAATGGGCACTAAATTTTATACAAGTTATATATTCATATGAAACTTATTTAATGATACAACTGGAATACAGATTCCTGCAACGCCACTGAAATATCGACATATACTGATGATTATGCATTATATGATGTATGGGCTACGAGCTCATTCAGTAAATACCTACTAAAGAGTCGAAAAACCAAGACAGTGTGAACGAAAAAATGTAAATTCGATTGACTAAAACGTCCAACTATTTTATTTGTACTAACCAAGGTACTTATGCAATCACTAGTGAAAATATTGTATCTCATCCGTTATCATTACTATCAAATGACAAATAGCAGGAATAAATATCTTGAGCGAAAATATGGGTGAATAATGAGCAACTAATGGAACTCCCATTGTTCCCACTGCATTATTGCTATATACATATAAGCTTTGGATAACTCATTTTCGTTTATTCAAGGCAAACTACTGAGACACTAGATATACAAAACAACCCAGTAACTCGAAAAGAGACACTAAATGGTGTAGGAATAGGTTAGGTGAGAATTACGGGCATCAATACATGCGGTATCAGTCAATAAGTCAGTCATGATAACACAGAACCTATCCGGTCTTACAACTCATTACGCTTTATCATCACAGCGATAAAATTTCTAGCACAAGTACTTGAGCAGAAAGAACAATTGGACGAAAAAGCTAACAAGATTGTAGTGTCCTATAACGAGAGGAAAAAACTAGCACAAATGATACAGATATATATATATATATATATCGAGAACATAAATGTTAAATTATTATCGATATCTGACACAATGCTTCAGTAACTAAAGCAATCTTCCGCATGAAGAATTAATATACTGCCCATGAAAAGCGGTTAAAGTACTACTTTTCACCAAATACCGTTTCATATGATATTTATCGAGTTTTCCCGAGCTACCAACTTTGGGGAAACCCTAATAGTCAAATGACCTTCACCAATGTTTGGGGAAATTTTGTGGAATTTCGGGGAAATGGCACAAAAACCCCAAAATTACCCCAGACCTGGAGAAAATCCCCAAAACCCCCTCTAACCTTGGTCAAGGCAATTTGATTTTGAGTATTTCCCCAAACATTGGTGAAGGTCATTTGACTTCGAGGGTCCCCCCTGATTTCCCGAAAGTTGGTAGCTCGAGACCTATTTGAAAAACAGAAGACGCCTAGAGGTTTTGGATTAAAAAGGTTTTTGGATTTGAATCCAGGTCGATAATTTACCCTCTTGGATTATTTGCAGGATTGTTCCTAAACACAACCCCACTCTTCTCTCGTTGGATGAACAGACCGCGCATTCAGGCTTGTTTGTATAACCACGCGTTGAGAGCGTACACACAAACAATGTGAAAAAACAAGATGAAGCATTCGGTATTTTTGTCATATGATCGCGATCAAGCTTAACTTTTGGACCATAAACGTGAAACCAAAACTTCTGTATAAAGATAAATTTTCGCTATTTTATTTGAATACTCATAATTTTGCTTATAATCACTAAAATTAAAATGGTTCAAATTGTTGATATGGTTCTGGATGAAATAGAATCTTGCGCTTAACTGGATTCTATATTTAGTAAGAATGGGTCACCGGTGCCTCCGGACAAGAACTCAAGAATATTAGCGCGAAAAGAGAGAAAAGAGAATTAGTAATTTATAGTTACATGATGTTCTTAGCCCATATGTTTCCTCTTAAAGCACTCCTAGAATATCTCTTAAATTAGCTCAGCCGGCGGCGAATTCCAAAATTTGGATACTCGTGATGAGTAGAAGGTGGGCATGCATTCCGTTCTTCCGTATTGTGATTCTAGTTCCTCAATGTTAACCCTAGGGATTGTATTTGAACTAAGTTTATGTATGTGTTTAAAAGGAAGCCCAGAAGTGTTTAGGATGCTTGAAGCCATTAGAAAGTCGACTCTAAGAATCTTTTACTTTAATGGGTAAGGGTTCAGTGGATGGAGGAGCTCTTCATAAGACTTGTATTTGAGTCGCCAAACTGATTTTGTGACTCGCCGTTGGGTAAGTTCCATAGGGTCTTCATCCTTTTGGATTGAGAGATGAACTTCTATGTTTCCGTACTCTAAATGGGCCTGAATAAAACTGTTGAAGATAATGTAGAACGTTCTTCCGTTGAATTGGCCGAAAATGCGCTTCAACGTTATGCAGTCAGCGTAAGCCTTCAGACTTCAGATGTTGAACTGGAAATATTTTAAAGGTTAACGAATGTTTTTCCAATTTATTTTCATTGGTTTCTAACACATGTTTCATACGCACATAGAAATAGGAAAACTGGTAGATAAACTAAGAAAATCAATTACGTGTCTGTTGAAGAACCACTCAAAGTGGTTAATTCTGATGTACATTAAAAAACTTGATATATGAGGACCAATTATTTGTTTCCATCTATTTATATAGATACGAGGAAAATTAGGAGTGATATTGTCGGTTACAGCTGAAACGAAATCATTTGTTACGAAACATGCCAGATCAATAAACTTAGTCGTCAAATAAGTGTGTCGAGGCGGAAAATTCACGTTATGCGTTCTCCATGTCTGTGGGGCGATATGTGTGTAAGCCAACAGTGAGAAGCATCAGGCATATCGTATAGTTTGTGAGGAATCGATTGTGAGATTCAACAGATTCTCTTAAAATAAGGAGGATTAAATGAATTATCAGTAGGTATTTAAGTAGAATATCTATCAAGTAGTATCACTGTTGAACCTTAGTGTTCAATAGTGATATCAAGTCGTAAAAATAGCATATTATATTATTCCATATTGTAAACCATCCAGGGAGGAGATAAGCCACTAGAAACCCAGAATTTTTAGTCCTTAAGGAATACAGGAATTTACAATTGTCTTAAATCCACAAGTAAATAACCGCTCACTAACATATAATACGATGGAAGGCGTTTGAAGTTTATAGATGCATATCTATGCATGTAGTTGGTGAAGATTTCTGTCAACGAGACTGTGAGTAAAAAGGGGCATTCAGGCATTTGCAATGAACTATCACTCGATGGTCAGATACAAATTACTAAACAATAGAGTTTATCAGAAAGTGTTTGGTGGATATTATCATAATTTTAATAGTTGAGATCATGAGTCAATTGAAGCTGGACCGCCGTGGAAAACCCGGAAGCACCAACTATACTTCGTTGTACGTTTCTACCATCCTATACTAACTTATTAACGCATGTTTTGGATGTTCACACTATATTTGGATACATTCTTAGTCGATGATGCGTCAGCAACTCCTCTTATCTACGCTGTTGCATCACGTCGTACATTTTACTTTGCTACATACTTCGTTGTACGTCTCGAATAATTCATACATTACTCATAATAAGTTTCCCTCACATTCTTAGTATATCTTACTTCTATCTTTGCTACACTTAAGCCAAAGTGTTTTGTTTATAATTTACTCTGTTTCATAATATTTTATGTTTATATTGAGCCTTCTAAAATATTGTCACCTACCTATCCTGAAGACTTTGTTGCTATTTATCTAAAAAGTTATAGATTTGCTTACTATGTGTGTGGGAGGTTTGCCTGACGTTGGACGACTCGTTTTAATTGGCGATTATCAGTCTAATTGTGATTTTTGGCTCAAACATCTTCGCACGAATAAATCTGTACAATAGTGAATTATTCCCATATGACGACATGTTACGCAAGGTATTCCAGTTTACAGGCAAGATGAAAATGTTGCAGATAACAAAGGATTTACTGTGATAAATTACTCAATTACGTTGATATGTAATAGTATATAATGGTTAAAGAGACAGGAGAGGGAGGCTAATTTTCGTACGTAGTAATACGAATATCACTAGTGCTACTATAAATAATATATAGAACGTACAAGCAATTTTTAGGAGCGTGGTCAGTAATTTGTAACATGAACTGGCCGATATATATTGTTTAATTAAAGTTATCAAAAACAGAAAGTCAGCAAAAATTTATGTTAGAATACTCATATGGATGTGCCGAAAACTTGATAAGCGAGTTTTTATGTTGGCTCTGTACAGTCAGTTCCCGGTCTCTATGATCTGTTCAGAAATGCACATTGTGCAAACCATAACCTTGATGAACGAACATATCCAGGTTGCATTTTTGCGTGTTGCGTTCGCTGTGCTGAAAAAGGAGAATAGAAAAGGCAGAAAAACTAGCATTAAAGGTAGTTGATAAAAGTCAGTGTTTTGAGATGTGATTAGTAAAGTTATGCCTACTGACAAGTATATCTCAAACTAATCAGTGAAGAAACTTCAGATAAAGCATATAAACTGAAAGCAGTGTCGAGAATTGTAAAGGGGAAACAGCCCTCAGTTAAGAGAAGTTTTGACAGTAAAATAGGGTAAATATCTATTTATTACAATAAATTTAAGGTGATGTATATTGTCTAGGTTCCCGCATGACTCGAGCAACATAGTTTTTGTTTATTTATTACTCATTTTATTGTTGTTATCGAATTCCATCTGTCATGTCTGTGCTGAAGCGTGTGAAAATGAATGTGATTAGACGACTTGATAAAACAGCAAAACCAACATAATGTAGAAAGCATGATTGCAAAACAATATACACGCGAAAACTCCCTCGACCACATTGAATGGTCATCCAATTGCCGATCATCGAGAGCTGAACTTAACCAACATGTTCTTCTTCATGAATATGGGAACTGAAATCATCGCCATCTTTATCAATGCTCGACGGTCAGTAGTTTCACCCTCCTCTCCTATCTTGATGTTAGGCTTTTTAGGTTGTTAGTTACGCATTATAATCTAAGATGACGAGCAAGGATTTGGAAGCAAATGATTGGACAGTAACACACGTGGTAAAAAGATGATAACTGATAGGAAATATATAAAGAGAAACCCACACAAAAATGTCTGATAATAGTTCAAAAGGACAGCTTCCGAATGTTTCTGATTTTTCACCCGAATAGTCTCTAGTTACATTAAGTTTGATTGAGCTGTGGTGCATGATATTATTGATGCCCAAAATGTGCTGCATCACCAATGGTAAGACATCATGTTGTGGGAATCGGAAAAAAACTCAAGAGAAATGTTTATTCAATAGTCATGAAGAAGGAGAATGATGTGTACAGCAGAAGAAAAATGAATAGCACACGGTTTGTTTATCGCGAATTGTGGACTATGGATTGCCGAAACCATTAGAGGAATAAATGTCTGTGTTTAGTTACAGTTGGCAAGTCGTCTCTCTACATTGCTATATTCAGGCCACTATTTATGTTTGAATATCGTTCTCATGTAGTACGCCACTTAATCATTTGCATCTTTAATTATAACTTGATGGAGTCAAACTATCCTGCAACCGGAAAACAGACCTAGTAAATAATCCACACTACTTAGCGAATGCTATTATTTGCCACAGAATTTAAACGTCAAAAACAATTGAGTATATAACCATCAATCGACGGATATGTTCAACCACCGAAATTGGTAATACTCCTACAAACGTTCATGGCTTATCCTGCGAAACAACATACTACAAAAAGTTGTGCAACACCTATTTATCAGTTTATTTGCCAGGTCAAAAGCCCTTGAAGATGCCACAGATATTCGGAGTTTGACAACGTTTTAACCAGTAACACCTTCTAATACGAAGCGCACCCACCAAGTAAAATCAAAAGACAGAAGTGAGGAGATCGAAGATATATTTGATAAGCTATCAATATACCGAGGATCGTTTGCACTAATCTGGCTAGCGATTGCGGCAGATGTTGAGCACGGCGTTCCCACACGTGATCTGGTGCGGATGCACGACCGAGAGCCTTCAGCTAGATGAGTCCACTAAAACTGTGGTCAGCATCCAATGTCGAAAACTTACAGAGCTATTTGATTTTGGGGAATTATTTACCGCTACACCCTATTAAACTAAAACATTAAACGCTCAGTTCAGGATTATCGTCAACCATTTTCAATGATTCTTTTTGACATAATTTACTAGAATGGGCTCTCACTTTGACAGGTGTATGATGTTGTATGATGTGGTTTACTTTACAGATGGACACACTGGCAATTCAAGAAGTGGAATACAATTTTAGTGTTTCTTCTCTGTATCGACACAATATACAATAAATCCCTTAAACTTAATCAAGATATGGTATATCATATAGCCGTAATGAGTTCTTTACATGAATGGACGTTATTCATTATTGCATTGCAAACACTATTCATTTCATATGCTGTATCTTTGTTCATCGTTTTTATCCAGACCATGATTTTAATGAGTGGCATTTAAAGAAACCCAAAAGGGTAGGGAAGTTGTTAACTATTGCAGGATGGAAAATATGTGAAA